GACGGCACCCATTCACTGCAGAGCACCCATTGCTGAGACAGTGATGCAGTGCTAGAAATTTGATGAGAAACAAACTCATCCACATCTCGGGTGGCCTGCAGGTGAGGACATGTTTGGCTAATTTTTATTTTTGGTTGAAATGTTTATATTTTCCTTGATTACATAAATCAAGTTTTTTTTTTAAATGTAGTGAGGTTTAAAAGAAGATAATATCTTCTGAGTCTTGTCTAATCGCAGTTAAATAAATGTCTTTTATGGGTTTTTAGATGTTTTCCTGGAAAACAAGACAAAACTGTAATGATTTGGAGGTTTGGGCAGAATACAGGAGGGAAAATGCACTGAAAGATTGATTGTTCAGACGGGCTGAAGCACAAGAGTGATTGTTGTTGTAATATACGAGCGTGTGGTCAGTCGGAGGTCACGTCTTCATGAAGGATCAGCCAGAGACTAAAAGCGAGCTAGTCGTGTGTTGGACTGCCAGCTCAACTCCAGGGAAGCGGTGGGTTTGGTTTGTAACTAAAACATGCATACGGTCCAGCGCTGCGACTCTCGGAGCCTGTCATGATGAATATTTAAAGGAACTGTTTTAAGTTTGCACACCGCAGTACACATGGTAATGCAGAAGTTTGAGCCAAAAAATTGCAAAAATGCACAAAAACAAAAAATGTGGTGTGGCCAAAAAAATGCCCATATCTGCAATTCATTTGCTCCATTTAGCCTTTTGTGCTTTTTTTTTTTTTGCAAATAAAGGACAAGAACATTTCTTCGGTCTTATTCTAGACAAAGCAGTCTAATTTGGTTCAATAGCAGAGACAAAACCATAACTCTTTTATGCTGATGTTACAGGTCCTAAAATAAACCTCTTTAACTGAATTTATGTTTCCAGAATATCTTTCCATTTTAATTTTACACTGAATGTGTGTCTAAGTTTTTAAAATAGTGTAATTAAAAACAATCAACATTCCCCGCTGGATAAATGAATTAATTTATGAAACGTATAACACTAACCTACACTATCAGTCAGAGGTTTGGACACACTTGATTTATTTAATGCTTTTGATGTAGGTTTCTACTTAAAATGCTGTAAATTTAAATTAAATTATTTCTGCAGATAAATGCCTTGCCTGAATATGAATTTCTATATTGTGTCTACATATATGTACATTCATATTACATCAACTACATAATAGTAGTATATTATGCTACCTACTTATGTGTTATTTTTTTATAATTCTGATGACTTTTATATTTGCATCAGTTTGTTTGCTATATTATTGACACAAAACACTAACCTGTGGTTGTCCATGAATTATTGATTATAAAGACTTTCTAATATGAACCACTAAATAAATTTGACATTTCTTCTGATATTCACAGACAAATTGAAGTTAGAGGAACAGTTTGATGCTCTTCTGGAGAAATAAATTGATGGGTGTTTTATTTTCATCTGGAAAACTACGATTTTTTTATAATGTCGAAAACAAACCGAACAAAACCATTGATGTTTATCAACATCAATAGAACAGTCGTTTATAAACTGTAAAATAGATTCATATGCTGTTTTATATACTTAATTGAATGTGCATGAATTACTGATGAGTTCAGTGTTTATATAAATATTTATTTGCGACTTACTAATATTATAAATTATTACCAATAGGTTTGCTTCATTGCTTTTTCATTGCATTTTGGAGAAGCTCTGATGATAAATCCCTTCTTAACATGTTCCTGTTTTTAATTCATTTATTTCTTTTTTAGCAAAGCCATAAAAACACATTATATACCTTTTTCCCTTTTTATATAAAATGTCTACCTATTATATTTATTTTAGATCGTAGAACTATTATTCTTTAGGACCTGATTTATTTAACGCGTGTAAAAAGTAATGCAAAAAAAAGCAAGGCTCATAAACTCCAAATGCTGTGGGCAATAAAATGTAAGTATTTTAAGAGGAAAAACTTGCACACATGAATCAAATACATTTTTGAGATAGCTGAAATGTAGAATAACTGTTCAAAAATGCAAAATTATGTTTGTGACAGATATAATATATTATTATTATTCTTATTGAAGGTTATATTTATTGCAAGCTTAACATAATGTGATGCAGATTACAAATGGAGCCAAACGCCACATATAAAATCTTGTTTTTAGTGTTTAAATCAACCAATGCATTCCAAACTCAAACAGACAACGAACTAGTGCACCAAAACAAGCAGACTGAATCGAGTTATTCTTTAATTGCTGTCGTTTTTCCCTGAGTTGCACAGTAAAAACAGTTCTCCCCCACAAACTTTAAAATATAGTTCAAGTAAATTTAGAAATAAACATGCAAATTTTGGCTATAAGACATTACACAGTGTGGCTTGTTTCTTATGAGAGAATTACGTCTGTAACAGTTTAAATAAAGCCATGTGAGCCTTATTTCATTCGCTTTGAAGCTAACTTTAATAAATAATGGTCCACTAGTTAGTTCTGAGGCGAACAAAAACATAAAAAAAAAATATTTTTTTTAAATTCAGTTTCTCACTGATATCCGAGCCCAGACGCAGTGGTCAGTCTCTGTCCATAAAGAGCGTATGGAGAGTAAAACGGGCCGGTTGCGGTGGGAACCGGAACCGGCACGCTGCCCGTCGGTAACGGGCTTTTGGAGTACGGATGATACCGTGAGCCGAACCCGAGATGAGGGGTCCTGAGCACCAGCGGGGCTCCTGGCACATGACAAGCCATGGTTAAAGAGTTGGGATATCCCATAACCAGTTTCTCAGCGAACGCAGTGTGAGTCCGCAAATGGCTCAGAAGCTCCTCCGAAGACGAGAAGCGCTTGTCGCACGGACCGTTCGCAGAAACCCAGTTGCAAACGTGCGTCTGGGAATCATTGGGAAGCACGAAGTCATACGGGTATAACGGGTGTCCCGGGAACGAGGGTGTAGAGGGGGGTAATGGGTGCAGGGAGTGGCTGGGGTACATAAGTGTGTATCCGGATTTTAAGGCCGCGGCGGCGCTGTCGTGCGAGCCGCTGGATGATAGATGGCTAGCGCAGTGGTAGCTCAAGCAGAATGGGTCTCTGCACAGACCGCTGGACATGATGGATGGAGGAGAGGCTCCGGCGAGGGGACTGGACCCCGCCTTGCTGCTGAGAGCACCGGACAGCTGAGCATTAATCAGCTGACCGCCGCCGGGCTTGCTCTGATCCAGAGTCACGCCGTGGGATAGGAAGGGTTGAGGGTAAGCGGGGTACGCTCCAGGGTAAGGTGTGAATACGGTGTGACCCGGTCTGTAAGGGGAAACCGGCGCGACGAGTCCGGATCCGAGAGCGGATGATACTGAAGACGCCGGGATGCTGTCGGACACGGATGGTTTGGAAACATCCTGTTTGCTCGTCTCGCTCTCGGTTCTCATTCCAGATGCATCCGGCGTTTTAGCCGCGTCGCGTTCCTTCTTCCCCGTTTTATCCCCCGATCCGGGTTGAGGAGAGACGGAGCTGCAGGAGCTCGGGCTCCGAGGCGTGACCGGCCGGCAGGAGGCGCTCGGCACGCGGAAACCCGATTTATCCGAACCCTTGTCTTTTCTCTCTGACGATTTGCCGTATGGCTTGAAACTAGATTTGTCCTCGGCCCCGATGTCGCTGATCTTCAGCTGGCTGGATTTGCAGAATATTAAAAAATATTCAAAATCATGCAACTGATGCTTTCTACATTACATGTGCATTTAATGCGCAGGCATTTCAGAAAAGGCATATTTAGTGTTTATTTATGTTTTGCCATTGAGTGTGACTCAAGAGTCTTAAATCTAAAACACTGCAGAGACATTAAATCAAATGTCAGGAGGGGTTTTATTATATCCCTCTGTACAGGCAATAAAATGTGTTTCCATATGGCAACATCCATTGTTTTCCTTCGCTTTATAACTAAAATGATTGCACTGCTGGAAACAGGTCAGTCTTTAAGGAAACCATTAACATGATATTATTATTATCATAATATTAAGCTACATCACATTTAGTGTTGTTTTTTTTTTTCATCCAAGACTCAAGCACATTTCCTTGCATTTTTCATTAAACTTAAGATTTTTTCTGCATCTTTGATGCATTAAATGTATGTTTTTGTTCACAGAGCACCTATACTTTGTCTTTCAGAATTGTATAAAAATTAATACAATTATAAGATTAATCAAGAAAATATGAATACATATGGCAACTCTGTTCCACAATGTAACTGCATGATGCAATTCCTCATTAGAATTAAATTATGAAATAAATTATAAACTTTATAGTAATTGTTCACGCATAAACACTAATATTTGTTTTGTTTTTATTCTACAGAGAGCAAAAAGAGCTCTATCGCGCTCAAAAGCGATTATCGTCTCTATTGAATTATAATTAGCCTAATATCATTTTTCACTCATTTTGAGGTTGCAAGAGTTCGAAATTTATAAATAGGCCTATATAAATTCATAAAATAAGCATGAAATTAATTAGACGATAAAAGAATAGGCTACTTTTTACGATTTTTGTTTTTGTGCCATATGTAGCTAAATGTTAAACGTTTCCCAAAAAAGCAACTTTTGCAATCGGATCGTTATTTTACGTAAAAAAATACACATGATAAAAAAATATATCGTTTTAACATATTGCGCAAAAGGGCTGACTAGCCTACTACATTTGTAATTGGATCGTCATTTTACGCTAAAACTACATGCATCAATAAAAATTATAATAAATAAAAACATAATAAAAAATATATCGTTTTAACATATTGCGTAAAAGGGTTAAATGTAACCTCTAGTAAATATTAGTGTATTTTCCATATGGCACGGCTGCGTATTCACTGTACTGCGCGTTGAAAATAAAGATCGGCGTAAAGAAAAATGAACACTCAGTGTTGTTTCACATTAACGTCCTCGGAAGTGTCCGCTTTAACGTTACCTCTATGGGGCTGATGGGAGCGGACGGTAACGGCTGCAGATAGTCCGGGTGCAGGATGTGTCCGGTCCGAGCGCTCAGCATTTTCAACGCTTTAACGGGCAAACGGTCCGCGGGAGGCGGCGAGTGCAGGAACGGTTCCCGGTGTCGCTTCTTGAGATCAACCACACTAAACACAGCAGACTCCGGAGGCAGTGTGATCATGTCCCACTTCTCTCTGTGTGATCTGGAAACGCATCAGTAGACGGAACAAAAGTAGCTCCCAAGATGCCAAACAAATCATATGAGGAAAAACAGAATAATCCTTAAAGGTTGTTGCTGGGAAAAGCGTAGGAGGAGAGTTCAGAGCGCATCTTCTCTTCCGCGTCGCGCACTCACATTGAGGTCAACTCAGCGCACCAGAGATTAAAGCCTCCGCCGCCGGCCAATCACAGCGCGGCGTGGGGTGATTGACAGCTCCGGGGGAGGTGGCGTCGCCGTTGTGGGCGTTTGTTTTGGCCATATTGAGGAGGTAAAAACAAACTCGCGACATTATATAAATCACATATTGTTATGAAATAATTTCTCTTTAATATGAACAACACTTTAAAAAAATTGACCGGCACCGGGTTTATTGTTATTAATATATCTACACTTCATTTTTTTTTTTTCACATTTTGAGTAAATGTTACTGCTACTGCTCTGTACAGTCTACTTGCTATTGAATTGAAAGGAATTAAGTAAATATTACATAATTATAAATAATTTAATGTAGCTATAGAATTAAGTTACGTAAGTAAAGTAAGTTTAACAAACAAAAAAAAAGTAATCTTAGCTTGGCCCATAGAGGGAGGGTGAACCAACTCCAGGGTAAGGCTAAACGCAGCCAAATGTATTAAACATTATAAACCCGTCTTTTTAGGCAAGAACCAGACATGGTTGTCATGTAGGCTAAACATTTTTTTTAATGGGACTGAATTTGTATTTAACATGATTACAATTTAATAAAAACGTTAGAAATTTATAATTATATAACGTTTCCTTTCCATTGTTATTTAAACAGCGAATAAATTATATAGCCTATAGAAAGTGACATTATCACTAACACTGATCTATCGCGAGTTTAAAATTCCTAAGCTCAACAGATAGGTGTGTGATTGGTTAAAATGCGCAACGCTGTAAAAACGCCTAAAATGAAATACGGTGCAACATGAGCAGATCTTAATTTAATGCCGCAATCGACACTGTCTATTCATATTCACTTTGTTAGCAACAGACGTAATAGATTTTATTTGTTTGTGCAGGGGCATTTTTGTCCAATTTAGTGGCATTTTTGCCCCAAGTCCCCTCAGTAAAAGTCTGACTAATATTTACTTTATCAAAGCTTACTTGGCAATACTTTGATTTAACATTGCACCTAATTAAACCATGCTTTTAAAATGTATGTTACTGAGAAGCATCTCAGTAAATTAAATAAAACAGTAAATATTACAGTAGATATCATGTAGACACCATATCTACATATTTAGTAATGCGGCACTCATCCGAACACAGAGACTTCAATAGTTGGTACTCAAATACACAATGACTGTAACATTCTCTGGTTCATTTTTGAGTATGAATGTGTCATTTTGAGTAGAAAATGACACAAAAACGAGTTACTAAACCTAACAACAAAAGCAGTGATAAAACAGTGTAAATACAGCTGGAAAACAGGATCAAATCAACCTTATTAATTATTCATGCCCCAGTGCATGATGGGAACACCAGTATCAGAAAAGTCGAGTAGGTTTGACTTATTTTCATAACGTTTATAGTTACGCTTTAACTTCTACACGCTTGAATTGAGTACCAATATAGAATTTACCTTGTTTTTTTAAATTATTGCCTGAACTAACTTTTTCATAGAAACTACATTTGTTTTTCTGTAGTATTTACTACACCACAGAGTCATTTTATCAGTGTAGTCTGATTCATGATGGCTCAGAAGCAGGTCTGATGACTTCACAGGCAGTAAACTGTCATAAACTACAAGCTTGAGTACTGCTGCACCAATTTAACCGGCCTCTAATAAAAATCACAGCACTCTGATGACACGTCCAACAAGTATTTCCAAAAGCCATTAAACCCAGGCGTATAAAATAAATTAAATTGGAGAAGAAACCATAAATGTCACATCTGGTGATGCAAAAATATGATATTGCAGAGTGTTTCAACTCCAGCAGTTAAGCCTATGCGTCTCGGAATATTAATTGTTTACTAATGCAGTGTTGATTGTTCTGATTCATCGGGGGCCGCGGCTGATGGATGAGTGGGGGTTGCTGTTTTCGGCGGCGGCTGTCAGCTCTGGGTTTTGCCCGTGAGTTATTAGGGCCAGAAACTCCCCCTTTATTGTGCGGGTGATGGATGACGCCCAGCGCACGGGCGTTATTCCATAATGGGAACACGTTTCAGACGGGCCATATTTCACCACATTTAAGTAGAAAGTTTTGAACGCCTCCTCGATATTTCACATGCCTCTGGCATATTTATGGAAAGCTCCACGCATGCAGATATAATTACACGCTGCAGCCTGTAGGACTAAACAGACAGAGTAGGGCAGAGACAGTTTTATTACAGCAAAAGATGTTCATCTGTGTAACTGTTTTTTATAAAGTTAACTCTGATTTTCAGTAAATCATGTGTTTAATGTGCATGCATTTTAATGCATTTTGCTTTGTTTATATTTGCTTTTTTTCAATAAGTCTTCAAGCTTGTTTGACCTGCTGGGGATAGGAAATATTACTAATATTATTTAATATTAAACATGTACTTGCTTGCTTGTTTGTTTTATTCTGAGATGTGCATAACGGTATCCACATAATCAACTGAGATGAAGACCAGGAAGTTATGCCCTCAACAGAAGGCAGAATATTAATAATCAGGTATTTAATTAACATTATATTCAGATAACATATGACCATTATTTTGATATTTTTAATTAAATTTTTATTTTATTTTATTATTTTATTTTATTTTGATATATTTTATTTTATTTATTTATCTGAATTGGACACAAAATTTGAATTAAGATTAATTAAGTATTTTAAGTATTTAGACACTTAATATTATTAATCAGGTATTTAATTAACATTATGTTCAGATAAAATGTGAGCAGGATCTATTTTATTTTCATTTTTTTATTTTATTTAATTTTATTTATCTTTTTTTACATTTTATTTTAAAGGATCACAAATTGGACACAAATTGGACACAAAATTGGAAATAAGATATAGAGCATTCAGACACGTATAATATAATATTAATAATCAGGTATGTAATTAACTTCATTAATATTGCAATTAATTATATTCAGATAACATATGACCATGTTCTATTTTATTTTAATGTGATATATTTAATGTAATAATTTTTATTTTAATATTCTATTCTGAATTGGACACAAAATTGGAAATAAGATATTCATTATTTTGAGTATTCAGGCACTTAATATTTATAATCAGGTATTTAAATAACATTATATTCAGATAACGTGATCATGCAGGATCTATTTTATTTTAAATAATATGAATTGGAAATTAAATATACATTGAATATTCAGACACTTAGTTTAAATAATCAGGTATTTATTTATTTAACATTATAATCAGATACCATGTAACCGGGTTCTGATGATTTTCTAATATTTATAACATGTTTTGTATTTCTATTGCATATACATTTTAAATGTACAAATTTGATTCCACACTGGAGAAATAATGTGTGTGTAGGCCTGATCCAGGTCTTATAGATTTTGGTAATTAATAGCGGTTGTGATTGAGTTTACAGTTGCGTTTAGTTGTGTTATGTTTCATATAAAGTCACCATCATAAATCAAAATTAATACTTTACTCACTGTTTTGTATTGTACAATAAGTAAAGCAAGAAACCTTTCATTGCATGTTCAGAGAGGAGTATCAGTTAGTAACAGATAAGCGTTGTAATTGAGCGTATTGCTTTTATTGGGAATTGGAAACTCTGGAGAGACATTGATTCGTTCAGCGGATCATGTGAAGCTCTGCTCATTATCTTCTCCTCATTAATCTACGCCAGAGACGCATCGAGCAGGACCTGATGGGGTAGTAAAGAAAGAGAAAACGCCATTAAGCACCGCAGAGCACATGCAAACATATGGTGAGCTGCTTTCCCTGGACGGCGTGCGGTCGAGCAGCGAACAAGGGGGATTTTCATAACGTTTATAGTTACGCTTTAACTTCTACACGCTTGAATTGAGTACCTTGTGTTTTTAAATTATTGCCTGAACTAACTTTTTCATAGAAACTACATTTGTTTTTCTGTAGTATTTACTACACCACAGAATCATTTTATCAGTGTAGTCTGATTCGTGATGGCTCAGAAGCAGGTCAGATGACTTCACAGGCAGTAAACTGTCATAAACTACAAGCTTGAGTACTGCTGCACCAATTTAACCGGCCTCTAATAAAAATCACAGCACTCTGATGACACGTCCAACAAGTATTTCCAAAAGCCATTAAACCCAGGCGTATAAAATAAATTAAATTGGAGAAGAAACCATAAATGTCACATCTGGTGATGCAAAAATATGATATTGCAGAGTGTTTCAACTCCAGCAGTTAAGCCTATGCGTCTCGGAATATTAATTGTTTACTAATGCAGTGTTGATTGTTCTGATTCATCGGGGGCCGCGGCTGATGGATGAGTGGGGGTTGCTGTTTTCGGCGGCGGCTGTCAGCTCTGGGTTTTGCCCGTGAGTTATTAGGGCCAGAAACTCCCCCTTTATTGTGCGGGTGATGGATGACGCCCAGCGCACGGGCGTTATTCCATAATGGGAACACGTTTCAGACGGGCCATATTTCACCACATTTAAGTAGAAAGTTTTGAACGCCTCCTCAATATTTCACATCCCTCTGGCATATTTATGGAAAGCTCCACGCATGCAGATATAATTACACGCTGCAGCCTGTAGGACTAAACAGACAGAGTAGGGCAGAGACAGTTTTATTACAGCAAAAGATGTTCATCTGTGTAACTGTTTTTTATAAAGTTAACTCTGATTTTCAGTAAATCATGTGTTTAATGTGCATGCATTTTAATGCATTTTGCTTTGTTTATATTTGCTTTTTTTCAATAAGTCTTCAAGCTTGTTTGACCTGCTGGGGATAGGAAATATTACTAATATTATTTAATATTAAACATGTACTTGC